TCGTAAGCCTTCAACTGGACAGACTTACTCGGTTAAATACTCCTTCAGTTGTTCATATCGAGCAAACTATATAGGAAGAACCACCAGAAGGCAGGCTGAGAGAATCCGTGAGCATTGCCCGACTTGGCCATTCGGAAGTGGAACGAAAACGGTTCCGAAAGCCTTTTCTGAACATTTAGTTGATTTGAACCACCAAATCGATAGGTACCAATGTTTCCAGCCCATTTACCGTGTGCCTGGATGTTACACACGAGCGGTAAGATGTCGCTTACTAGCAATAGCCGAAGCGATCGCTATCCGCCTCCAAAACCCAGACTTCTGTGCACAGAAACGAGGTCCAGATTTTCTCTCTACGCTGGTCCCATATCACAATAACCTCTGTTGGGCAACATGCCACTAACATGTCCCTAACCGACTACCTGACCTTGTCATTTAGACGACCTAGACCTTTGAACTTTGCCCTTTGAACGTTACGCTTGTTTGCCGTTTCAACTCATTTTATGCGTATCGTTTGTCGTATACAAGCCTGAAGAGATCCACCAAAAACGGACTCGTTCATTGGCTGTTGTTTAGCTGTTAACACCCGGGATACTTTATCATTTCAATAATTGCTTACGTATGAAGCTTTTGGATAAGTATTCGGTGATCTAAGCGGTCAAAGGTTTTAGAAAGGTCGAGGTTGATAACGTCAGAATCGGTCCCATTGTCGGCTATTTCGAACCAAATACCAAGCTCAATTAGAAGATTGGCAGTACATGGAGGGTACTGACGGAATCCTTACTGTTTCTGTGCTATGATGTCGGACCTTATAAAATAGCCCATTAGAGCCTCAGCTATGATCGATTCTACCACTTTTGAGAGCAGTGGGAGGAGAATCACCTGATGATAGGTAAAAGGCTCCGAACGGCTACCATCCTTGGAAATTGGGGTGATGATACCCTGCTTTTACATGTTAGAAACTTGCTGTTCATCCAAGCATCTTTAAAAAAATTGTGCTAATGGCTCAGCTATCGTCGTAGCGGCCACCTGAAGTGCCTTTAGGGGAACGTGGTCAACACCGGGGAACCATAGGTGCGCAATGTTTTCAGCTTCCTTAATACGATCGCTGAACTAAGAGTGACCTGTGTGAATATTGGCTTCTGGAAGAATGGGCGGATGTGTGACATCTGCTGGTGGCGCATCGAAATACTGAAGCATATTACAGTCGTAGAACTTTGGCTGCATCCTCGGCAGTTTGAGCACATCCATGTGTTGAGATAAGTGGGGGAACACCACGTTTCGTATGCCGGAGGTGATCCACATTTTATACAGAAGCTTGTTGTTAGCACAAAATCATTTCTCTAAGCTCTGTTGCTGTACTAATTTGTCCTCAACTTCAAGTGGGGCACAGTGATTACGATGCATTACACAATTGGACTTACTGCACAGAACTCTGGCAGCTGAAGTTCGCGAAAAACAAGAGCGGATGAAGGAACGCTTTGATACTTGCAGCAAAAACAGTTTGTAACATAATCAGATCCAATCAACATACGCTTGCCTACAGAGGATGGATGGCAACCGGCCGTTGTCAAAACGACTAACGGGCGGATCATAGAGGCAGAGACTGAGGACGGCAAAATCGCGCGGCGTCACATGGATCAGGTTCGGCCAAGGCAGTTAACATGCGGTTATACCTGTGAAACAAATTCTCCACCCCCAGTATTGCACGACATGCGAGCGAATGACGTACCACCTGAAGTCGAAGCGCCGGTGTGTAAATCAACCCGCGACCGCCGACAGGTTGAGCGTTGCCAAGCTGCATAGTTGCAACTACAAGGGGAAGAAGTGATGCGCCCACAGCCAGTGTTCCGTGTTGCCTCTAATGAGCGTGAATGTACGTGTGTATGTCCATCCTGTATGTCCATAGACCTCAGAGAGCGCTGGTGTGAGGCCGAGATGCAGTATGTTTGGTGTTTGACCGTGTTGATATGTGCTGGATCAGCTTGTATTCTTGAACAGCGTCTAGGAAGCCAGCCACGAAGGAATCTTGGTAATGATCACAGTGAAGAAGGTCTCAGTCGACACTGGGTGCATTGAAGTCCCCCTTTAGCGGACAGTTCCGTCCTCGACCATTGATTCTTACTGACTATAATAGACGGAAGTCTGAGCTCACTGGTGCTCTGTAAGCCACACTGACGATGTGCAGCTGATAGTCGTCCTGAATTCGGCACCAAAGTATCTCTGAGGATCCATCATTGTCGCAGTGGGCATCGATAACGTGTGCTTGAGGCAGGACCTCGAGTAGAGCATTACTCCACCCCAAGTCCGCCCATTGGAGCAATCTACTCGTGGTAGTTGATATCCCGATACGGTACTTACAGCGTACCATTGGTTCAGTTATCCATCAGTTTACCCTTCAACGAATTCGTTACTGATGCAGGAACGTTGGTACATATCATAGTTAGCATATACAATTGTTTCTGGTGGCTTTTTTGGAAGTATGGACCGTAGTTGGGAGACCTAGCGATTCGCCGTACATCTGTGCCGCGTTGTCTTTCACATTAGTTACGGGCGTGGTTATGGAGACAGCAGCGTCAGATTCTGGAGTGCACTTTGATTCAACAACGGCCCAGCTGCCACTGGTATTTGCATGATTTTTGGGTTTCAGCGCAGTCCGGTGTGAGGAAATGGATTTGTGGAAAATTGCTGTAGATATGTCAGAAGTAAAATGTTCGGGAACGCTTGAGCGATTTGGATTCTTGGCAAGGTTTGCAGGAGCAACTTTATTAATGTAGCACTTGGCGTTGTTGTGTTGGGTTGTGGTGGAGTTCGGTAGAGGGGACTGTGTCGGACATGCTGCTATGCCTGTTTCCACTGAAGCTATTTTGGTGCCTAACATCTCAAATACGTCTGTGGACCTTTCATACTCTGGGTCAGTGTAATTACGATTTTAACTAGTGGGCCGATACTATACTTCGCATAGAACCAAACTGAGTCAGTACTGTTGCTGATGAGTCTGCACATGCTTGGTGTGCTTTATCCGCACTTCACATGGAAATAGGTTAAGCACTTTCCACAGAAAACCCCTAGTTTGGGTAGCTTGTTGCATGTTCCACAAGCGCCTTTAGGCACCGTGGCTCGGTTATTAGCACTCCACAAGGCATATACACTTGTGATGATTAGTCCTACCTAAGGCCCTGGTTCGTTTGATCCGGCGTCAAGGGCAGCCCGTCGAGACGGTGGTTGTCTAAATGTCTAACTCTCTTGCGGCTGCACGCAGGTAGTGGGATTCAGTAGTGCGCACATAAGGACAAGGAGGAGCAGCGTGTATTGATAAGCTCGTGTTACACGACGATGCACGCGGGGCGTTGACAAACTACCCTAAGTGTCTCGGACGCGATGTTTAGTAGTGGAATGAAGCAAAGTGTTTCGTAACTTTGTTATTTCGCCGCATGTAGGGATGGTTACAGGCTCGTTTGAGAGTCCTCAGCTGTTTCTAGTGAATGAAACCAAAATTATTCACGAAAAACTTTGGGGTGATGTGATTTCACAAGCAGAACCTGACAAAGAATGTGCCAAAATTGAGAACTGGAGTAATAGTATGATCCACGAAAATCAGATCAAAGAGATGGAAAACACTGAGTAGTGCTCCTCGAAATGGTTCATAAGAGCACCTACACAAGACGTTGTGGGGAGAACTGGAATGACCACAGCAAGTGAAGCGTGAGCAAAGATAAAGTGCGGCCGTATGACAGTCAATCTGCAGTCGTAATACTTCTGGATAATAAAATACTTAAATTCCGAAAACACGAAAAGATAAAATGCAACCTGTGAAACTTTTCGCGGGTGAAGGCGAAAAAGCGAAGACATGGATTTGTTTAACCCTGGACGTGCTAGATCTGACGTCACTACCAATTGTCGGAGGACGGGAAGATAGCAATAAAATACCCCGACTAAGAAAGCACACGATATTCAACGTAATAATCCACCTATTCCATGATGAGGGATTGGCGACAAAAGTAACCTAATCCTAGATCGGCATCGTCCGCATAAACACATACCATAACTGCGGATAGCACAGGATATCTTTCTACATGTGAGGAAAGCAGGAAACTATCGAAGATTGCTCCCCGCAAAGCACCACATGCAGCGCGAAGCATTAAGGACCTTTTACTGTTTCACTGCGCTATATGACTGCGTCATAAGTGGTAAGAATAAATCTGCAGAAAGTTTCCCACAACCTCACATAGCAGTGTGTAAAGGGCTTCAGCTGCTCTTAGGTGAAGAAATGTAAGCAGTTGTTTGAAAACATGCAACCGTATTGAGCCCGATCAGTTAAAGAATCTATTTCCGGTTTCGATAAAAACGACTTACTTGAGTTATCAGAAGACTAGTACCGGAGCAATAAATAGCAGAACATAAAGTAGCTTAAAAGGTCTGTTTGCAGCAGTACGTTTGAAGTGCTTGTTGCCAAAATGGATTGGAATGATAAATTTCAACGTGCACTGCGGTCCAATTTGAGTCGAATCTCGGTCAATTCGGTCACCGCGATAGTACTTGGAGCGAAAAATATTAGTCACTGATCGATCGGAGCATTACACTCCGGGGGTGTTAAAACGATCCCAGATAGCACGGAACTAACTCACGTGAATTAGTGAGCTGGCAAAGCGGGACGCCGTTGAGTTCTCGCATTTCTTTTCTTTTCCTTATGAACGAGAGTGCTACACCTCAGACTGACTCTGGTGATCACCAGAACGCACATTTTAAAGCAGAAAGTTCTATATTATGTGTATAGCTGAAGTCCGGTGAGCTTGGTTTGGTAGTACGGCAACAAATTATTACCTTTGGATGCTTACACTGTTTAATAGCTCTCTAACTGTTAATCACTTAATGCTACCCTCGTAAATTCTGACTGAAAGTATAAACACTGCTTTCTGTCCGAAATTCATTCCACTCTGCACCAAGAGAGGATACAGCATGCATTAGTTACCAACGTAGGCATAAACCACTCTTTCACTTACAACAATGCTTGGATAAGTGCCCAAGACCAATAAATTTGAGAGCCACATCAAGCACTGACTCAGTGAATAGGCTGCTGCGCGAGGTCCCTGGCGGAATACTTCGGACACAATCAAAGCGGCAACGGGGCCCAAACCCAAGGCGTATGCCCCGACGTAGATGAACATGAGGACAGCTGAGGCGATTCCCATCGATCGTCGTAGCGCGTCAGTTGCATCCGAGGCCACATTCACTGTGACAATCATGAGAAAAAGGGTCAAGGCGAGAACAACCGTAGGCCAGAGGAGGAGCGTTCGGCGTCCGGCCTGTTCCAGTAACATCAGCGCTATTATTGTTGCTCCCACATTCAGCAGACCGATTGCTAGCACACAGTATTGAATATGTTGATCCGCAATACCTGTGATTTTGAGCATGGTGGATGAGTAGCTGACGACCTGATGACGGAAAAGTTACGATTTGCATTTACCTGAGGTAAGCGAATATATGCAATGAGCTAAATAAATTTGACATCCTATACGGGCGTAAACAAGTAATAAAATTAGTTTCCAACCTTCGTGAAAGGATTACTTGTGATGGGATGCTTTTTAACTTAAGTCGATACATTTGGTGACGGGAAAAGTGGTAGCTTACAGAATTTGCTTGTGCAATCCTGTGAAACGGAACAACCTTTGAGGGGAGACCCACTGTTCAAAATTGCCGTTGAGGACTACGATTCAAGCCCCATGCAGGAAGCCGACTATGAGAACATGACCCATCAGCATCACTGTACTACACGTTAGACAGGGACGCAAAACTCTCCGGCTATTTTGCTGCACTACTATCCAATAGGATAGTAGTAAAAAAAGAATGGAAAGCTAAGGCACAACAAAAGCGACAAACCAAAAGCAATAGTAATATTCATCGTTCTTGTAGTATGCGTTAGAGCTGCTCTTTGGAAAGGGAGGTTAACTGGAATGGAATGGGACAAGAAAACTTATCGCAAAGACCACTGAGGTCAGCTTCACGCCATGTCAACAATCGTCTTCAATAGAGCATGTCTACCGTCTTTGGGACATAAGCTCAAAAGTCGGAAGTCACCAAGCAAGTGGAGATAAATTGGTCCGATAATTGGAAATTTTCAGGAAAGTGCAATTGGGTTTGGAAGGAAAGCTCTGCGAGTCTCATGTCCTGCCTAGCTGCTGGACCAGTCACGATGCCCTGCAGACAAAATATTAGACTGTCACGGGGGGAGTGTGGACACTTCGAGCAGGGTAAGGTTTTGGAAATTGCGCAGAATATTAAGGTAGGAATTCCTTATTTCCAGTAATGAAAAAAAGAGCACCAAAGCTTTGCACCTCACCGCATGTATACCAGAGAGTTGTTGTTGCAATACTACTAGGCAGGCAAGCAACATCGGCATGCGGAGATCCTTGCGGACGAATAGCTGTGTGAACTTGAACTGAGGTTGGCTTTTGACGTTCACCATTTCTTCCCTTAATTCACTGATAAGCTCTTCAACGTCCTCTTTGGCGTTAAGACGACGGGAAGCAGTTTGCGCTGCAATCTCATCACCTTTCTTTATAAACAGGAAACGCGGACTCTCTGGGCAGAATGGCAGAATGAGGAGGGAGATTGTCGCCGGTATAACACACAATCCGCATGCGATGGGCCACAATTCATTCGTGTTCAGTGTGCTGGTCAAAGTGACCGCATAGGCGATCACGTTGCCCAGAGTGATGCCCAGATGATAACACGCTCCAACTACCCCACGGAGTTCGCGAGGTGAAACTTCGGCCAGATACATCGGTGCGATACCCGTTGTGATGCCACAATTGAGACCAATGAAGAAGCGGCCAACAAATAGCAAGGCCGCCTGACTGGCGTATACGCACGGCGCACACAAGAGGCTTCCCAGGATGGCAAAAGCATGGTTGACTATGAGCCCGTTTCGTCTGTGACAGTAGAAGAGAAGATAAAATGTATTAGATGCTGCTGTGGGATTGGCAAACGGTCAATACAACAAGTAACCCCCATATGATTGAAATCCTATGTGGGGAGCTAAAGGTTGGATTTCAAAAGGAGTAGTATTTTTATCATGCATAGATGAACGGTAGGAATTCTGTAGCGCAAGCGCGGATAGGCAATAAATAGTTCATTTTCCTTTTTACGACAAAATAACGATGGTATAACAAATAGTTTCGGTTTGGAGCACACCAAGGAGTTGGGCAGAAACGTCTTGATGTCATTCACGGACAGAGCTACAAGGTGCTGAATTGCTTGGTTGCATGATCGGATTAATATTTGGCCTTGGACTTTTGGTGATTTTACGCTAGTCTTCGAAGGTCAGTTAAAGTCTTGCCTGTCGCACGCCATTCCATGATTTACGTGTCACCTGGCTTTGCCAGAATTTTGCCGCTTTGCTTCAGTACAATTGTTCCACCTTTACCTGCCAACTCTAGGCCACCACAACATTCCTGAAGAAGCATTTGCGTCAAGAGCGAAATGTTGCCATAATAAAAACCTAGGAAACCGATTCGTATTCAAAACTTGCTGAAATCATGATAGGCAGGTTACTTATTAATTATCAGTAGAATAGTAATCGCTCGAATTTAGGGTTCGCACCGTACTTAACTATACCTTTGTTTTGAACAACTTATTGACCACGTATGGTTGATAACGTATAGTTGATGAGCCACGTTCTGGTCACGAACAAGCGTATTATGCTAGTTGCTCTGGGCAACGCAATCCGTTCAAATTTAAGTACTAGGGTTGACCGCGTAAGAACGCAGGGGTGCATTATGCGATGACAGGTTTTCGGCTTCTACCCCTGTGTCATTGGTAGAGCGAACAGGCTTGATTTCCGCAGTACTTGCAATCAGAGTGCTGAAAGTTCCATGAAACTGTACGCACAAACTACTAAAATGCCGTATGTAAAAGAGCTACTAATTATTGACTTAAACCAGGTTTGTCAGGACATTTTATCATGTAATGGTACGCTCAGATTCCGTGTGCCTCTCATGGTGTTGGGCGTAACACACATAGTTGTATGGCATGATTAGTTGACCACTGCTTCCTAGCGGGGTCTCTATCAGTGGATTGTCCATCAGTAACTGTTAGTTCGTAGTTACAAGATCCAGAACGGATTGATTGTCAGCTCTGTACGCGGTGGGTGACGTGATATGATTATATAGTGAAAAACTTAAGAAAATTTCTCTACAGTTAGGCCTTGAATACTTTATTGAAATATGCCGAAACGTGCACATCGTGTGCGCTGAAATCACCTGAAGTCTAAACACGTTTGTGACCTAGTAGTAGGAATTTTATCAAAATCTAAGTCAGGTGAGAATCCGTCTCTGTGTAATGGAAGATAAAAATGACTGCCACAAGACAAATGACGCCTTAACTTGCACCCTAGTGCAGGAGATCTAGTTGGCGACCAGCCTCTCCGATTTCTATCCTGGCTGGTAATGTAAGTGCTTACGAAAGTACAGACTTACGCTATCTCCTCTATCTAGGTGGTAGGTGAAAAGAAGCCAGATAAACAAACTGAACCATTGGGGCATCAGAAGTAACTCGGTGCTCCGGCTAAGCCCACCAACCTAACGAGGATGACTCGTCACCCGAATACCAATCACAAGTGTAAAAATAAACTGTCACTGAGGTGGAAATAGTATTGCTTTCAGCCGCTCGTCTTCAGAACGGTTGTATTTATTACGGGTATTCCCGAACGTTTCGTGGATAGAACGTAAGCGAACGCAGCAAGACCTAGAGGAGTACCGCTTAAACACTGTAATTAGAACCGTCTTGGTCCATGTCGTTCCCCAGTCTCATGAGGATGCTGGATGCGAAACAGAGGTTCACGACCAGGAGCAATGGTACAATACTTGCGATATCCTGGTTGTTGACGACGATGTAGTTGCTTCTCTCTGAAGATTGTCAAGATTTGCAAGGCACAAAGGATCCAGCCCAATGATTAATGAACGTAATGCTTCAAAACAGGTAGCTGACACAAAGGTTACAAGAACGCTAACAATCACTTCGGAGCAGACTGCCAACCGAGCTCAAGTTCGAAGTGTCCAACAACATAGTCGACTGAGTTGCAGTGCCACCTCGCTAAGCAAACCAAGCGAGGACCATATTCGAACCGCACACTGTTAGCAAGCCTTAAAAAGTAAGGGGCTTCCCACACAATTATGCAACCACATCCCATGCAGAGCGCAAAATGGGTCGCCAGAGGGGTTAAGTACAACGTCGCCAATCCCAACCCCTAGCCACTCACTCAAACAATACGAAAAATCGGTCAACGGCCGACCACACAACGGTCGGCACAATCGCTCATCCGAACCTCCTGACTTTCAACTCGCTGCTGAGAGTCGAAACACTTTCCTGCATGTATTCCAATTCCCAAAGCCTTCTCAATAAACTTGCTGAGCCTCTGTTGTGTGGGACAACAAACACTTGGGATTCTATTCCCACAACCGAAACTTGGTTGTACTCAGAGGTTACGGATGATGATGTCGCGATGCAGAGACTGTCACTGTTACCAAACATTTGCCCCAGCAGGGGTGATGGTGTAATCTTATACTATCGCAACGGCTTAGGATGGGAACCAGTGGATGATCTGGAGACGTGGGTTCTCGATTCGCTATAGTGCAGTTTGTGTCTCATATACAATGACAACTGATCGTGGCAGTTGTATAGCAAACCCATTGCCCACTCCGGAGCTCATTTCCCACCTGATATTGACCTTGATAAAAATCCTACTTCCAAATCAAAATCACCCACGTATCTCAGGGGATTTCAACGTGCACAATCCAAATGTCTCGGCATCCTTCAGCAAAACATTCAAAGCCGAATTGTATTCCATTGCACAATCCCATTACTTCACTTACAACGGGGTTGCTCCTCCGGGGCAATCAAGTTGAGTCTTCGCTATGCGGAATAGAACCACTCACTGGCATGGTAGGGGTTGTTCCTTTGGCCAAGCGCCTTCAGCAAATAGGACCTCAGACGCTTGGCCAATGAAACAGCCCCTACCATGCCAGTGAGTGGTTCTATTCCGCATAGCGATGACTCAACTTGATTGCCCCGGAGGAGCAACCCCGTTGACCCCCAGGCGTAAATGTTTTGTCCGAATGTCCAACTTCAATGAAAAATGGTATAGTGGGGAGCTCGACATTGACAGGCCATTGCTGAGCATCCAACTAGGTCTAAGCGGATACGTTGCCATACTTTGCAACCATATGTGTTATTCTGAATACCAGAAGTAACACACTGGACCTAAGGTCACCATCACAAGCCACAACAGCCTGGCAGATTTGGTTGCGAGGACTACTTGGGACTTCTTGAGAGAGTGGTACCCCTGACAACGCCCGGATTCAGTTTATTGGAGGCTTCAGCAATCTGATCGCAACTGCTTCAGAAAATAAGCATGTTCCTTCCACCAGACATCGCCGTTCATCAGACGCAGTACACGAAACCCATGTCAGTAAGGAATGTAGCTTGACGTGCTTTCACAGCCTGTTCTAGTCCCGAAATTTGGAGTGACCACGTAGCCGAGCGCAACCACTGTACTACGCTTCTCCATGGTAGTAAAGTGAATCACTAGCAATACTTGGCTTGTACACTTTACAAAAACGATCTGCTACCATGAAAGCACGTTAACGGTAATTCATTGTGGGAGTACACAGAGTGCTGAAGAAGCAGCCTATAAACTAGGGATACGGTGTGCCCCTACCTACCAATGGGACATCCCCAGTGCTACTTACACACACCTGAGTACTAATCCACCAAATGTGCATAAAGCAGTTTTGACTTGATTTGAAAGACATCGCCCCAATTTCAGGTTTTACTAGCAGCAAGTTTACTGCCACAAATGTGTTGAAAACACTGTTCTGCCAGCTGAACTACAATTCGTATGGAAACGACGGCACACACGAAAGCGTTACACACAGCAGCAAAACGCTGGCTGAGTAAAAGATATGTCTACCAAGTAGACACTTTGTCTAATTACACCAAGTTCTGAAAGTCCATCGCAACGTCACTGACCCTTAGTGTGATGCGATGATTTGCGTACCCCGTGACCCATTGAGCTATGCTGGGTGGTACTTCCAAGTGCCTTCAGTGCCACTCATACCGGACAGGTCAGTGGTTAGGAGTCAGACTAATAGTCTCACAATCCAATCCCCTACTTACCTTGGGAAGTTGTCGATGGCCCTCTTCCTTTAAAACCTAGTCATGGGAGACAACAGGTCTACGAATCATAAGTTCACAGGTCGATTGGCCTAGAGCACGAGCGCCACGCATTGTCTTTAACAGTGGGGGGGGCCCTTCTGGTTCTCAGTGGTTTGCCACCCGCCTCAAGCCAGACAGACCCTGGTCAAATTGGTGCAAACCCACTAAGTCCCACCTGCGTTTGGCCGCGATCGCAGGGTGTGGATCTTACTACGGTCGCAAAACACTTGTGAATTGTTCCAAATCTTCAAAGGCTATGTGTGACAGGCCTGGAGCGGATCCCAATAGGTCACTGCAATCCCACCCCTACCTGTACTCACCACCCACTGTCTTGTGGGTCAGACTATTGAGCCAAAGGCAAAAGGTAGGGCAACGAGAACAAAACCCCGCTGTCAGAATTGTTAACTTGAGAGTATCATCTGCCCTTTCGACCACGTCGACAATACTCAGCCTCCTTCCTCATACGCTTCTCGCCCCTTGCGACTCTCTTCTTCCCTATCTATTAAGTGATAATCTGCCGCTAACATCTGCTGCTACCATCGATACTCGTTACTAATCCAACAAACCCCGATCTCATTTCACATTGGTTGTTTTAACATCGCACTTCGGGTCAGATCGGTCAACAGGCAGCACTGACTCTCATTCTTCACTCTCTTGGTATTTATCTGTGGTGTGTCGCCCAAGCTCGCATACAAGATAACATCGTTGTGGCGCATCGACGACCCACTGGTTCTGAATCTGACCACAATGACTACACAATTCGCGTCGCTGGTGATACCGATACAATGGCTCAAGGTATTTACGATGTTGGTATCGCCCTCAGCAGGCATACTCTGAAGTTAATCTACTTGATTAGATACCGGTGAACAACCGCATGTGTGCGCTTCAACTTCGACCCTCCATTGGGGTTACTAAGCACGGTGTGAAAACAAGGTACCTTTTCATCGCCTCCTACTGACTACAGTTCGGAGAGTACCAAAAGATGCTTTCTATTGGCACCTTTCATCTCTTCGCATAGCCACGAATACTGACATCGTGATTGTTGCTGGTGACCCGAATGAGCAATTGCCTCGTCTTTTAGATTCTGAACAACACCCGGGAGGACGATTCGGAGCCGGTGTACACCAAACAGACAGTCGTGATCGATTCCTGCAACTGTGTGCCGACCTTAATCTTCAAGTTAGCAACACCGCTTTCTAACATAGCCGTTCACACCGTGTCATCTGGAGCCAACCGAATTCCTCAATGACCTAGACCCAAATTGGCCTTATTGCCATCACCGGCAGATGGCGCACATCAGACTGTCGGTCAATATGGAGCACACGCTTGGATTCCGAGCATGCTGTAGTTCGCGCACGCCTGGCGCTCACTCTTCAACTCTAAAGAAGCATTTAGCTCCTAATATTCTGACCCGTAATTTGAACCGGCAGTCTGCGCTTTACCAATATCATGACGAACTAACCCACAAATTGTCGGTGATAAATGAGGTCGGTCATCCGAACGCTGACTGGTATGGTCTCAAATGTGCCATGAAGAATACGTGTGACGACTGCAGAGCACTAGACTTAAGCCGTCGTAACTGTGAATGGATCTCTGCAGCACAGATCAGCTTAATCGAAGCGTGTAAACGAATTATGATAAGCACTTAGTTGTAGCGTATCCGTAACTCACTGAAACGACGTCTGACAAGGGGTCTCCGGATTGACCAGGAAGATTGGTGGGTTACAAAGACTTGAGAAATGGAGAAAGCAACCCAGTGCTATTCCAGCTCATCCGGAACACGCCCCTGAGAAAGCCATCAGTTGGCGAGACGATAGCTGAGAAGGATGAAAAGTTAATTCATTCTCAGCATCGTCGACTACCTAGTTGGGCGGGACAATTTGAGAAGCAGTTCAGCATGTCTGCAGCGACACTGCCGTTTGCTGATTCACTCCAGCTGACGTGTGATATCATATCTTCCACTTTGGAACTGATTGGATTTGGGCTCACTGAGTTAAAAATGAAACAAGACTCCTGGTCGCCGCTATGCAGAAGCTTGGGATAATAACTGATTCACAAAACTGGAAACAGAACTAATCCCTCCAACTATCGCCTAGTATCCTGTTTTCATATACTCTCCATATATTCCTATACTCTCCAATGCACTTGTGTGTTAGCTAGAAATCTACAACGTCATCACGCCAGAGTAGCACGGTTTCCGTTAACAGCAGTCATGTACAACGAAGCTATTAATCGTACGCTGTAGTTGGATCAAGGCAGATGACGCTGGATAAGGTGTTGATTTGATCTATCTGGATTTTTCCAAGGCTTTCAATCATCTAGACCATCGGATACTACGCAGCAATCTCCATCATTACGGGATCTGCGACTTACTTTTAAGCTGGATTGCCAACTTTCCACTTCAACGGCAATTCGTGGTCAGAGTTCAGAACTCTGTATCGGACCCATACAAATCGAGCTTGGCGGCCTGTGAGGCTCAGAATTAGGGCCAATTTTGCGTTTGTTATTTAAGAATCGCTTCAAGCTTCCTAAAGTTTGCCGACGATATCAAGATCTGGCGCAGGATCCAGGTGAATGACGACCAGCATCTGCTTCAGAGTGACCTATATACCGTGTATCAATGGTCAACCCAAAATGTACTGCATTTCAACTTCAGGAAATACTAGGTGCTTTCCATCCAACATCAGAGCAGCTACTCATACCGGCTCGAAACGAATATACTACAACAATCAACTCGCGAACGTGACTTTAGTGTCCTGGTTCAAGATGACTTGGGTTGCTTCAAGCAATCCGAAAAGGCCTCGAAGACTGGGAACCAACACGTCGGGCTGTTGCGACGGGCGTTTGGACAAATAAACAGCTCCATATTTCGACAAATGTTCAGTGCGCATGTTCGCCCCTATGTCGAATGCGCACTTCGAGCCTGGCAGACAAGACTGAAACACAAGCTTAATGCACTGGAACAGCCATAACGTCGGGCATCTAAGAATGTAATTGTAATGCGCAACCTTTCACACGAGGAGAGGTTGCAACGATTGGGGGTATTCAGTGGAAGCTATCCCGGACTATGAGCCGACCTGATTATGGAATACTTGATTCTGCGAAACCCACATCACATGTGCCATCCTTTACTGTAACTCAGCAGCAATACAAAACTGAAGGGCCATTCATTGAAACTCACAGAACAGCATAGCCGTCTGGAGTGTCGCAGAAATTTCTATTCCATTCGTGTCTGTCACCCGTGGGATGCTCTCTCAAAATCGGTCGTCTCCGCACCGACACTAACAGTAGTAAAATGACGGTTGGATGATGAACTCATCCACTTACACTTTATCACTTAGCACTTCGTCTCCACCCTGCACCTGGAGTTTACCATGGATTTATTTGATGTTAACTGTGAGCACTGTGGATTTAAGCGGATTGCAGGACTAGGGTGGAGCAAACGATACGTCCTTATTTTCATATTTGAAGCACTAACTGTGTACTATCATTATTTTCATTGTTTTGTCGATATCTCCACCAACTATCCAACGGGACTTGTAAAGCAACGCTTCTTAACCCGTATAAATTCATTGTTCATTGTTCTGTTTGTGTAAATGTAAACTACTAAAATTTATCAATGCCAAGGTGCAGATTATTTTTGCCGGTGGTTGAGCATCACGCGTGTGCTGTCTTATACAGCATACTCACCTTCCTAGGACTTCCGCTATCCATCCAGAAGCAAGAGCGCCGAGTGCACCAGCGACAACGTAGGTGGTACCAACCTGGGCGTACAGAAATTCCGGATCAATGAAGCCCTCTACGGTTCGATTTCTCGTCGGCTTGAGAACAGTAGCACTGAGAAACTGTTGAACATGCTAGGGTGGTTAAATGCAACAGAGAATAGTTATTTTTAGTTTACAACATTTGTGATAACAGCTGTAACTGTATTCGCGATTTCACAATTATATAACTGCATTAACCCACTAGCGTACACATGAAAACAGTGCAACTTCCCTGCATTCATCTTCCGCAATGCGGAACAGCTGATGTGTGACTGATCGCTGCAGTTGTTACAGTTCAGCTACCTCGATCAAACCTTCAAACTGCGGACCATCAGCCTGGTCTTCAGTTTGTTTCCGATGGAACCAGTCATTTGGCGTTCCACGCTTGCGTGCCAATGAATTGATCAGATATTAGCGTACTACTCAGTATAGTGGTCCCACTTTCAGACTATTGTCCAGATCGGGATTCGAAGTGTGTTATTCTATAATTCTGTTCCGAACGGAAAGAAGTGATTTACAGAAAAAGTTGCCGCCGCCCTTAGTCGAAACAAACTGTGTCCGAATACGAAAGTCTTAGAAAAACACGTTGCCAGACTGGAGTATCGGGAATGCTCTCCAACAATAGGTCATTGTACCCGCAGGATTTCAGATGCGGCTACAATGAGGCATCTCTTCTTTCTGCATCAGAATTCTGCCACGCAGTTCAAGATGATTAGGACACGAGAGCTATGGAAGTTGCCCGGCAAACAGTCCTTCGTGCATAAACTGAGCATACCAAGTGCGTAAATTTTCTTGAACCGTCGGGCAAAATGGCACTAGAGGATCCGACGCCTGACAATGCACACTCTCGGTCTTTAGCACCGGGGAGGCTCACCACTGGTTGCCGGCTTTCGGTCCCGGATTTGTCTGTCACTGTGGCCTCCAAGGGGACAGCCACAGGACACCTGCGCCTACAGAGGGAACATGGGTGCCTTGCGCTGCACCACGCACAGCTCCATCCACACAGTCCATGTACAGTGTAAATGCGACGAAACAAAACCGGGAGGCATGTGGATGGGAGCCACGTTTCATCAACGGAGCCGGGTCACCCGCTTTCACAGGCAAACACATGCACACTGTATTTGGGAATCAAGCGCACACAAGGTGTTGGCTGGACCGTAGTCCGCTCCATACTGAGTGCATGGAACCGCTCTTCGAGCCTAGCACGACCACAAGGACATTGCATCCCGTCCCTCCAGCAACGACCAGCTGTCTCCTGGAGACAGTAAAGATGAGGTAGTGGGTAATAGACAGGTAGGCATCTTGTCAAAATGCACATCAAGCGCAGCCACACCAGGAATGTCAAGCAAAAGCCAGTCACATAAAATGCAATGTCGAGCAAAATAGACCGAATACCTCCTCCTTATCATAATCATCATCATTAAACACGTTAGCCAGAGGTGGGGAACACCTCAGCCACTGTGCCGCAATACGTAGAAGAAAAAAGGAGTGAAAAAATGCAACAGGTGCAAGCCAGCTGAACTACCGGTAACGAATAGGCATCGTTCGGGTAAGCTACCGGCCGGCTACTATGCAGCAAAAAAAATTACCATGCAAATTATATAATGCTAAATAATGAGGTCGTGGTTGGAGGGGGAGGCTAAAAGTGATGGGGTGGGACAAAGAAACTCACAGCACGAACGCCAATGAGTTCACCTCCTTGCCATATCAGCAAGTGCATCCAGCTAAACGTGTTCATCGTCTTTCGAATCCCAACCAGGGAGTCGAGACGCTCCAACCGAGGCCAGCTCAGAAATGAGGGCCTTCGTTCCTCTCGACCAAGTCATCGCTTGGCCGCCCTCCTTTTCTTCCATCCACACCCCCGGCGCGCAAACAATGCATGTCGCAGGAGTCGGTGGGCTGACATGCGTAACACGTAGCCGAGCCATCGGAGCTTGATGCATGAAATAACTTTGCTGAGCGGTTCATTTCCTTTCACTGTGCAGTAAACAAGGCGTCGAACACGCTCGTTACTCACGCGGTGTTCACACCAGATGTGAGCTAAATTGCGAAGACACCGGTGGTCGAACTTAACTAGCCTCTTCAAGTCCGCTGCTTTAAGGGGCCATGTTTCACAACCGTACAGTAGGGTCGAAAGTACCGCTGCATTGTACACGCTACCCTTCAGGGCAAGAGTGATGTAACGCCGGCGCCATAAGTGGCGAAGGTTAGCAAAAGCGACTCGAGCTTTTGCTATCCGGTTCGTGATCTCATCTTCAATCCCACGCGCGCTGATACAATTTTCCAGGTAGTTGCATTTCTGAGCGACGTCTAGCTGCTGCCCACCATGGATCATTGTAGGAGGCGGTACAGACCAATCTTGGAGGAACGCTTTGCACTTCGATGGTGCGAAGCAAAGCCCGAAGTGACGGACAGCTAGTGTTAATCTGTCCAGTGCCGCTTGGCACGTTTGTGAGCTGTCACAGATTAGGGCAATATCATCAGCATACTCTGAGTCAAGAAGTCCTTCTCCCGGGAGCAGATCCACACCTTCTATGTCGTGTCCTGTAAACGCGATTTCCATGACTTCGTCAATAGCGAAGTTGAAGAGAAAAGGGGACAGCGGGCATCCTTGTCTCACACCGCTAGAAATATTAAAGGGCGGCGACAACTTGCCGTAAGCCCTCACTCTGCCCGAGCTACGCGCATATAATGCTCAGATAATATTTACATATTTCTCAGGTACACCTTTCCTGGGTAGACAGCTCCAAAGTACATGTCTATCCACCGAATCAAATGCACCTTTGATATCGAGGAACACGACAACGGTGGGCCGCCAATATATGTGACGGTGCTCCAACGACTGACGCAAGGTGAAGATGTGGTCAGTGCAGCCACGACCTCGACGAAATCTAGCTTGCTCTTTACGAATATGGCTTTCATGAATGCCAGTCAGTCTGTGAAGGATAAAAAAGGCGAAGGCAATGGCGATGGATATCAGACTTATTCTGCTATGGTTGCCGCATTCCGAACGTGAGCCTCCTTTGAATATTGGGACTATGGCGGAGCGGCTCCAGTCGGTTGGCACAGTTTCCTGCTCCCACAATTTTACTAGTAGCTCGTGTAACTCGTCCACAAGAGCAGAGCCCCCGAATTTGAAGTGCGTTAGAGGAAGGTCATCTGGTCCCGCGGCTTTACTTAACCACAACTGTGCGATCTCAGGTTCGAATTCCGAGCGAGAGCGTGGATCCAAAGGGACAGCCCACGAAGCAGGGCCACCGCTGGCCGGCGAGAAATCGAACAATTCTGACCGATTAAATTGCCTCTCAAAATGATTAGCCGAACGCTCCAAACGTTTTGACAAATTGTGGATAGGCTGTTCACTCTCGCCACGTATAGTTGCACTAACACCAGCCGTTTCCCGTATCAGCCGGAATAACTTACGATGGTTACCAACGGCAGCGGCCATTTCCATCTCTGAAGCACGATGAGACCACCAGGATTCGCGTTCTCTCTTCACACTAGCACGGAGTCTTGTCCGGAGCTCTTTGCGAGTTTCATTGTGTTCGCTTCCAGCCGGGATATGCCGGCGAGCGTCGCTAAGTTCAAGAGACCGTGAATAGACCCAGTATCCATGTTGGCTATTAGACATACCACATGAGCATTTGCCTGCTGTTATTAAGGTCTGGTGGACATGTGACCAGTGGCCGTCAATTGGCTCCATTGAGCGCTTACTCATCGCGCATGTCAGCGTACTTCGATATGCATTCAGAACAACTGGCTTTGTCAGTTGGATGGTGTCAATGCGGGTCATAACGTCGTCGTGGGCGTCCGCCAAAGCGCATCCGCAGGTCAGCACCTACTAGTGCATGGTCGGTGTCTACACGTGTGCTGCAAATCTAGCGACAGTTTTGGATACAGCCTCTCCATCGGTAACTTATCCCAATGTGCTTGACTTGCATCCAGGGCTGGTTTCGGGGCTGGTGGGCGCCAAGTCACCTTCGGCGGGTGCTGGCTCGGAAATTAGTGCTCGCAAGAAATAAACGAACATTCTCACACAAATGAAGAAACCGCTTACCGTTATCATTAAGGGATCCTAAACCATGTTGGCCGTCCAGATGCAGTTCATCAGTGGACAACTTTCCAATTTGCGCGTTCAGATCCTCAGCAGGGCTACAGTGTCCGAGCTTCTGCTGTGGCTAAAGAGCTGGGTCAGTTGGCGGTAGAAGATTTTTTACCCAATCGTCGCTACAGTTTGTGGGCGCGTAGACAGCGATGATGCATAGACACCTAGTAGTCCCGCACGACTTCGGAGATTTGAACGAGCCAGCCAATCGGACCGCACAATGCGCTCAACGGCAATGGAGTAAAGCCAATCGGCGCCTGTCACTTCCGCGATTGCAGATCTCCTCTGCATGCACAAGGGCTTTCTCTTGCCCCTCGGTTACTGCCTTCGTGATTAGATCGCGCCATGCACGCCGATCAACCGCCTTCGATTCCCATGACCTGTAATTAACGTCAGAACGTGACAGGCTCCCTTTGATCATGTCCCGATGACGTAATTTGGTTTTCCCACGTGCGATTTCCCCGCAATCAGTTGGCCATTAAGCAGCTGTTTCGGTTTCCGGGTCGAATCCATGCGGTGAATATGCCCGAGCCACCTCAGGGCCCTCAGGAGAACTATGAAGTCCACTGCGTAAATGTCACTGCGTTGGAGTACCTCCGCTTCTGTAACTCGGTCGTTCCAGCGGATGCGCATAATACGGCGCAAACACTGCTGATGGAAACGCTTCGGATTTCGGACATCCTTCCGATAAAGTGTCCAGTTTTCGTTGCCGTAAAGAAGAACGTACAGCAACATAGACTTATATACCAGCAGCTTCGTCCCAATAGTGAGCTGGTGGTTGTACCACACACGGAATACCAGCTTGTCAAAGTAGCAGCCGCCTTCGAGACCCGGCTGCGCAGCTCGCTGGTCATCAGCTGGTCGGTTGTTATTACGCTGCCTAGGTAGCAAAATCTCTTAGTGATTTCCATCACTTCGTCGGCAATCTGGATTTGGGGCAGACTCACGGAATCTACTCCGGGTGAAGGCTTGCTTGTTTTGACGGTGC